ACACACACACACACACACACGCGCACACACACGCACTCACACACAGACACACCCGCACATAGACACACACACACAGACACGCACACACACGCACATAAAGTGTGAAATGTAATGGGTAAATAATAATACATTTTATCTATAGGACACCTTTCATACATAAAATGCAGCTCAAAGTGCTTTACAATAAAATCAAAGACATGAAATATGGGTTCAGTAAGAACACGTTATCGATAAAACAAAGACTTTGTAAAAAACCTGTAGAGATACAGTAGTATTTTGTTACTATGCCATTTTCTCAAAATACATACAAAGGTATCAAGGACCAAAAATGACTTAAGTATAAATACATACATGTCTTAAATTTATTTCCACATTTATTCATTTATGTATTTCTGTGTCCGTATGCTAATGAGAAAGGCGGTCCTAACCTCAGTCTCATTCAGGATTGGTCACAGGAGTGTGACGATCCAGTTCTTCTACTTCTGCCTGTCAATGCTGACTGTGTTGTGTCAGTTCACACTTAAAAAGAACAAGTTCAAAGTTCAGTTCATGCAAATGAAAATGAACTAGTTCAGTCAATGAGTCTCGTCACTAAGATAGAAGTACAAATGTGTGTGAGTGTGAGTGTGTTTGATGGGGGGGCAAGTCTTCAGGCATAACCTGTGAGGAACAGGTTGTAAATACTAAAGTCAGGAACGGAGTAGGAGCCAGTACCCTTTTCAATTTTTCACCGTTTAATCTTCAGAGACTTTAAAAAATAATTTTAATTAAAACAATATAAACTTTATTTATATATATAATCTTTCACGTCTTTTATCCTTGACACGGTTCAGATAAAAGGCTTGAAAATCATCGGGCGGGGGTGTGGTACCTGTCACGTTGACGAAGACTTGGTGACATCAACCTTCAGGAAGTCATGTGATTTCAGTCACATGATATCCATGCTAACCTAAAATTCATGACTAGATTTTGTTAGAGCAGGAAATAAACAGACTGAAGTTTAGGTTTTCCACATTAATGTCCCAGATTACCTGAATTCACCCCTATGATCAATCAGAAAATATTTGTACCACCCTTGGATATCGCTCCGTCACCACTGCTATAAAGCCTTAATAATTGGTGATTTAACAGAATGTGCTGCCACATAATTGACATCACTGTAAAACTGATGCGCTGCAGGTGTAACGCAGCGGTTGGTTAATCTGTGGGAGGTTTCTGACCTGTAAATCTCACACTCTTTGTTGTAGACGTGGTTGATGTCTTTGAGCGTCTGAGGAGAGGAGTAACACAGGGACCCACTATGTCTCTTTTTTTCCTTTGCTGGCTTTCTCAGTGACGTCTCTGTTCTTGCCAGTTCAAAACCTCCCAGCTGAAAAACAATAAAGTAAAAGACTTCATTCATGGTCCTCAGCACCTCAACCGCATCAATTCAGAGGGATTGAAGCCACCCCGGCATGATCTGTTTTCACTACCTTGACCCTGTAGCCTTCAGCCACCAGGAACTTGCTGCTGTTGATGCATCCATGAACCTTACTTTTTTCCTCAGTTTGGTGCAATCTTAAAAGAGAAAGAGATACTCAAATCATTTGATCACAATTATGGGCTCATAAACTGTAACTTAGTGTTTTATATTAACACTAAATAAAATTATGGAAGCTTGTATTTGTTGTTCTACGTCCACAAAAAATTCTCACCTACTCTGCAGCTCTGTCTGCGGCGTCTTTACTCATTGTTTTGGTTGAATGGCACATATATTCAGTTCAGCAGCTGTTTACATCGAACAAGCTCAAAACTGCTTTTGCTGAGCAGGTATGCAAACAACAGGCATGCACATCAGGATAAAGAGTTGCTAGAGACCAAACACAGAGCTAAAAGCGAGGGAGAATACTGGACCAAAGAAACCAGAGCGAAGTGTATGTGGAAGGTAAAATTTACGCACAGTATTTTATGGAGTTCAGCTTTTCTGTTGCAAATAAATAACTGAAATAGTTTGGTGGTATATCCTGGAGGAGAATCAGTGTCAGCCAAAGTGAAGTTACTTTCTTCATTGAAAATAACAGCCTTGACCTGATTGATCTCTTCTGCCATCTAGTGGCTAAAGATTATTTATTTACAATTTACACTAT